TTATTATTATTATTATTATTATTATTATTATTATTATTATTATTCCCATTAAGCAGAACGAGATGATTATTAAAGGGTTTTTTCCTCCAAAAAGCAGCTTTTCCCATATTTTTTCCTTCATTTTTGCCAATTTCCAATAGCAAGGGCAACTGCTTGTACAATCTCTGCAGTCAAATATTAATGTAAAGCTCCCCCAAACACCTTTTTTAGCATTTTTCTCTCCAAAATAATGCCCTTCATGATGAAGATCTGGCTGCATCCATCATAACTGACATTTTTTGTACTTATCACGGACCTTTTCAATCTCTGCCCCACCTTAGAAGAGAGGAAATCAGTGCAATTTGCTTTTCCAAACCTCCCAAATTCCAATTTTCCAAGTGAAAAGCTCATAGCAGCCACAGCATCAAGTCAAAAAAAAAAAGCAACCCTTGGCTGCAGCTTTTCCTCCAAACCCATTAAACTGAAGGAAAAACACTTCAGCAACACCATCAATAGGGGAAAAAAGGAGGAATTTGGGCAATGACTCTCCTGAGGGTCCCCAAAATTCAATGTATTAAACCAAGGAGCAGATAAGGGACAGAGCTGGGGAAAGCAGGGGGACAACTCCAGAGGATGCTGCGGAAAATCTCAGCTATTTTAAAAGTCCCTTAAATTGCCCATTAGGACTAAAACAGCATCATGGCTCCCCGCAGTGTAAGCAAGAACAGCAGTGTGATTTGAGGTGGGAAAACAGAACCAAAAAAAAAAGTGGGGGGAAAAACCTCCTCTCAGAGTGGAGCAGTGAAGCAAGCAAATGATGACAGAGAAGTTGAAGGAGCCATAAAAAACCCACCAAGGTGACGTTTGCTAGAAGTGACTTTTTCCCATCAATGGAGATGAGCAGAAAGAAGAGCCAGGTGGCTCTGGGGAGGGATGTAAAAGTCAATTTATTTATTTTAGCTTGCAGAGAACAGGGTTGCTTTTAGGTTTGTTTGTTTGTTTGTGGTTGTTTTTTCTGGTTGTTGGGGTTTTTTTTCTGGAAGCAGCAATATTTCTACTTTTACAGCAAATGGGAGAAAACCTCAACATTCCCCACATCAACCCCCAAAAATCTGCTTTGAACCCAGAGCCAGTTCAGCATTCGATCCAGGTCATCCTCATTGAGTCACTAGAGCTGGAAAAGTGGAAATGTGATGTAGACTTGCCTTCAAAAAATCTTGGGATAGACCATGTCCAAAATCCTACCTTATCCCCCATGTCCAGCCCATTGAGGTGCTCTGGAAGAGTTTCTCTTAGATGAAACCTTGTTATTTTAATAACTCCATAACCATGCTCAGAAAAGTTATTCAACCCCTTTGATTAACACTGTAGATTAAGTCTTTTTCTCCCCTCATCATGTGTTGCCAAAAAAGGCCATAAAGATAGGCCAAAAGGCCATTCCTATGGCTCAACGTCCCCCCCCCCGCCCCACCCCATCCCCCTTTAGCCAGGTGCTTCACCTTTCCAGCTTGTTCACATGCTCACTGCAAATGTCAGCTTTCCAAGAAGACCCCACAATCCCAGAATGAGCCAGAAAAGGGAAAAAAACCCACAGTTTTTCCTCAAATCCTTCAATTCTAGAGACAGCATTGAGAAGGGTTTAATCTCGCCATTCCTATGGCTCAACCTCCCCCCCCCCGCCCCACCCCATCCCCCTTTAGCCAGGTGCTTCACCTTTCCAGCTTGTTCACATGCTCACTGCAAATGTCAGCTTTCCAAGAAGACCCCACAATCCCAGAATGAGCCAGAAAAGGGAAAAAAACCCACAGTTTTTCCTCAAATCCTTCAATTCTAGAGACAGCATTGAGAAGGGTTTAATCTCTGCCAGTCTCTGAAATGAGTTTTGGGGTGAAATAGTTTGTAATTTAGCAAAGGAAGGTGAAGGATTTGGGGGTCACAAGGGGTCTGGAGAAGCCCACAGGTACTGGGGGACACTCACCTGTGGGGTGTCTTGGTAGGGAGGAGGGGGGACTGTCTGGGTGGCCATCATCATCAGAGCCGGTGCTGGTGAGACATGGTGCATCCTGGGTGGGAGTCACATTGAGAACCTGAGGGTGGAAGAAATGCTGCTGGGTTAAGAGGGATCTCCCCCCGAAGAAAAACTTTGGAAAAAAAAAAAGGGACATTCCTTGCATAAGCATCCCATTACCCAAAAGAGAAACTCAAGATGATTTGATGACCCTTATCACAATCTGATGATAATTTGAGTTGCATTATTTTGGATAAAGAATGCACTGGGGGCAAAGCAAAGAGGGTTATTGGCAAGGAGACCCTACCTGACAAGTAGCCAGGCAAGGGCAGAGTTTTTAGAGATGGTGGCTGCCGTCAGTGAACCTCATTATATTTTCCTCCTAGGGAACCCTCACGCACTCAGGGTATTTTCTTTCCACCCTTTATTCCTATAACTGCAGTGCCTGAACGGGGATTTTCATCCTTTTCCAGTTATTCCTCCTTTTTAGAAGCAGGAAGACTACTCAGAAATGCAAAACCTTTCATCTTCTCAAACTACACACAAAAAAAAATCAACCAAAACCCAAATAATGTGTCTCTGCCTTTGGCCACCATGGAGTCACATCCCAGGCACAGCTCAATCCAGAAGGGACGCTGAGTACCCAAAGTTGAGCTGACCAACCCAGCTGACTCCTATGTTAAGGTGACCAGTCCCATGGAAACTGAACACACAAAAACGATGAAAGAGGGTTCAACCTCTCTACCCCCCATATGGACATCCTTGAGCACAGGAGGCAGTCTAAGCCATGTCACCCTCAACCTCTCTTGAAGTTGCTCTTCCTTCTGTAAATGTAGTTATCTAGGGGAGGTATAAAACAGTCTTTCTTTTTGGTATCTCCAGGTCCGAAGGAGATGGGGACAAAAGAGGAGAACCACGAAGAGAACCTGGAGAAGATGTAATCAAAAAGCAACTCTTGCCCCCGCAAATGCCTCCTCTCCTATTATTTCACTGCAGTTGTGTGATAGCTTCAGAAGAAAAGCGAACAATCTTGCTTAAATTTAAAAAAAAAACAAAACACATGTCCTGGGTCCTCTCTGAGGCTCTGAGCTCTGCATTCAGCAAAGTCACAAAGCCACCTGGTAAAGGTGTCTCCAAAAATGCATGTCCTTGCAGTGACACATTTTTGTAAGAAGGTGACGTCTTTTGAAGGATTCACCCTTTTGTGATGCCCATAATTGCACTGGGCTCCCCAATGGCTTTGTATCTGGAGAAGAGCCATGGCTTCATCCCAGTAAGAAATAGAGAAAGTTACATAAAGTCCTCTGATATCTACCAAAAAATAGTGCCATGAAATGGTGATATGCAGGAAGATACACTCTGGCACAAGGGAGAAGATGAGGTCAGATGAGATCAGTAAAAATCAAGGCACGTTTAGGGTCTTCAGATCAGTCTCCACAATTTTTTTGGGAAAAGTCACAATATTCTGGACTTCTTGACTTAGGTCAACAGTGGTTGTGGGGAATAATCCAAATATTCTGGTCTTCTCCATGAGGGTCACAGTTACTTGGGGGAATATTCGCAATATTATGGTCTTCTCTGTGAGGTCCATGCTGTTTTGGAGGAAGATTAGCAACATTCTAGCCTTCTCCATGAGTTCCATAGCTGTTTGAGGAAAGATCTGTGATATTGTCCTCTTCTTCATAAGGCTTTGGGTTTACAGGAACCACCAGCCAAAGCAAGTGGACAAATGCACCACATCCACATAGAAAGCTGAGTGTTGTCTGCATGGGGTGAGCATCAAACACACATTATTTTGCATTAATAAATTGGGAAAACAACAACAAAAGAAACACAAAAAAACACACACACAAAAAAAAAAAACAAGAAAAAAAAAACTCAAACAAACTACCAATGCTTAATTACTTTTCTCACACTTTGCTCTAGCACGGCTGCTGTGAGGTGAATATCGAGAGACCATCCAAAATCCACTGCAATGGGAAGGCAGAGCAGGGTCCTGTGTGACACAGACCTCTTACAGTGAGAAGCATATTGCATTTATGGGATTAAAACTGATGCTTTTCATCTTCTTTCCCCAACAGCAAAATAGCAGGAGGCAAAATTATCTGCTCCCAACTGAACATGTGGCTTAAAATCTTCGGCAAAACTCAGCTGGCAGCTGCGGGCGCACAAGCATCAGCATCAACACCAAAGGGAAACTTCCCGACCTGAAATAGCTGCAGCTGGAGAAAAGCAGAATTTAGCATTGTGGTGGTGTAGATGTCTTGATGGAAAGCTAAAAAAAATTAGGTATTCCTATTTTGGGAAAAAAACCCCTGTTTGGCATCTATTGTTCATGGCAGGAGTGAGCCTACCTCCAAGGCACAGCAGTTTATTGCGGGGTGTGAGCTTTTTGCCTAAATATATTCACAGAAGGTGGCAGTCCGGACCCCAATCTAATTACCTAGTATCATCTAATCTGCTAAAATCAAGCTGCTCATTAAGGCTTTACGGGCATTGATTTGTTTGGAGAAAAGGATTTGGAGTTAAATGAGGGGGGGGCATGGAAAGAGAGAGATAAAAATGAGAGACAGCTGTTGCTGATGGCAGTGTATTTCTGTTGGGGGAAACAAATGCACTTGGGGGCCGTAAATATCCAGGGAAGTGCCTGGCACCCATGGGAAACGCCGGATGGGTGTTTCATACAGGAACCCCCAACCATGAATCTTGGGACAACACCGCAAAGCTGTCACCTCTGTGGATTTATTGGCAGCCAAATGCAGAGAAGGGTCTAAAGCTGCTATTTTATGCTTTAATCCTTTCTTCTTTATATATATATTTTATTTTATGCATTAATCTTCCCATATATATATATATACATATATATATATACATATACATGTATGTATACATATCTTTTTTCCCCTGACCTCTTAAACCAATTTAGCCACATAAGCCCTTGTCCACAGACATCCAGCTGACGAAAGGTGCAGAGCATAGCCAATCCCCTGCCAACGTCTCACAGATCAGCTCAAGGCAATGATCAAATCTTGGGCAAAGAGTGAATTTTGAGGGGCTGGGAGTCAGGGAGGGCAGAAACTGTGGCCAGCTCCCAGGGTGTTTGCACGGAGGAAAGACAAGGCAAGCAATAAAACCCATGAAGACTCTCATTTCCAGAAGTGGCAGTACTTCAGGTTTTGGCAGCGACCCAAGATCAAAGTATCTTAAATTTCCTTACAAAATAAAATTATTTCAGCTATCACTGAAGTACTGCCATTAAGTTGGAAATGTATTTCCCAAAGACCTCACCTCAACCAAAAAGCATTTCAAATGTATAGGCTTTTTGCCACCAGTATATTACCTCCTCTTTCAAATAAAAAAAAATTAAAGACTAAGTTGAGAAGATTTTTTTTTTCCCCAGCATGGTCACTGATGCCTTAAAACATTTTAAATAATCAAAGTATTGCAGACAGTTGTCTGCCATCCCCACAGTGCCTATGACTTCTTTGATTAATAGAACAGCCATAAAAACATGTTAGAAGTAGAGCTGAATTTAAAAAAAAAACAAAACAACCACACTGTTGGACTCCATGTTATTGTTTTCAGGGGATAATGTTAATACTAGCTTTGAAAGCAGCAACTCTTGTTTCCAATCAGTGGGAAAACAGGTCATTTTCTCCAGCTTACTCAGCAGCTTCTCCCTCACAGCAAAACGTGCAATTAATAATAAAGGTTTCAACATGAGAAATAACAAAATCAGCTTTTCAGGCATTTCCCCTTCTCTACCCAAAGTTTCTGGAGGATGTTTTTCCAGCCAAAGGAAGGTATTTTTCTGTATTAGGGGATGATCTTATATATATATATATATATATATGTATATATATATATATATATGTAAAAAATGCATATATTTTTTCAGGATTTGCAATGACCTCATGTTAGGCATACTCTCATCACAGTGGTCTGCAAGTTTTTTATGCCACCGCCTTCACAGAGGGCTTGCACTCACTGTATTTTATGATATATGCACTCATTATATGCATATCTCCAAGTTAAATGAAGAAATATAGCTGAGGGGGAAGGGAGAGGCACCTCCAGAGGGCCATCCATCTTGCTTTCAACTGCCAGTAAGGACAGATTCACCCTCAGCGGGTGATGACGACTCTTCACTGGCCATAAAGTGACTTGAGAGTGACCCTCTCACTCTTGAATGTCTCATTTCTATCTGCCAACCTTCCCCTTTTTTGCTTGTTTTCCCCTAAATTCACCCTGTACCCTGGAAGGTGAACACCGGGTTTTCACAGTCTGTTAAAGGAAGCCCTTAATGCCACTCTGAGCTCATTAAAAACAAAACAAATTCTACTAAATGGTTAAAAATGGGGAAGAATCCCATTTTTCAGGACATCGCCCAGTTTTGGTCATTCAAGGTTGCTTCCAAGTGGGCCTGTGTGATGCCTCATCTGAGGACATCAGGAGCAACTGTGTCTGAAATACCACTGGGCCACCAATTTAAAAAAAAAAATTTAAGGAATATCTGGTAGCCAAAATTCCTCTGTCTGAACCTAGGAGTCCTTTTGCACTGGGAATGTCTTTTGCTCTCAGATAAGATGCTGGTTCCCTAAAAGCCGGCCTTCCCGGCACCTAGTTAGTGAGTTATGTCCCAATAAAAAAAGTATTAATTTAGTCTGCTACAACCATGAGCTAAAGAAGATGAAGATTTAATTTCTGCAGGACAAATCCTGGACCAGAGCAAACCCTTTTTTATTTTCTCCTAAAAAAAAGCTCTTGGCCAATGCATGAGCATTGGGGTAAAAGGCAGAGGGAGATGCCATACTGGGTGATGTCAAAAACCTCTTGCTAAGCACAAGTCTGGTTCATTATTGGATGGGACATATACCCTAGGTTCAAGGGGAAACAGCATTTATGTATTAATATTTGAACATATTTATTTAATATTTATGTTTATTTGTTTTCATTGATTTATTTAATATTTGCAAATCTTTCCACTCAGCTCCAGCTCCACAGAAAAGGGGGAGCCGCTACAGTGAATTTCTGATGAGAACAACAATTATTGC